AGGGTACTCTTGAGGAGTGAGAGATAAGAGATTTAAATAGAAGGATAGAGAGGAGAGAAACAGATAGAAACACAGGATAGTCTTGGGAGGACCTGGATCATATCCACTGGCCCCTCCTGTCTCTTCTAAAGGGCCTTTTAAAGAAATGCCAAGGGGTGGAGCAAAAGATCTCCCCCTAACTCAGCCAAGTGCAGACCCTTCCAATCACCTGGTAACCATGCATGTGGTCAAGCAATCCTCTAATGCAGCTCTGCTGGGTAAAGCAAACTCAGATCTCACTAGAAAGCCTTTGTGGGCCTCCAAAGTCCCTGCACAAGGTGATCATCCTAGCACACACTCACCTGGCTCTCCACCCTGTGTCTTCCATGGCACTGCCCATGGTCTTGCTTTCCATGAGTACCCCACATATTGATTAGAGTTCCCTATGTCAGTCTGAAAGCATGATTCCTGGCCCCAAAAGACAGCAGATACCTGATTCTGAGATCCATAACTACTAGTCTCTATACCAAATATGAAGAAGGGTTTGGAGGCTGAGAATAGTAAACTCCTACTCAAGACCTTCTACATCCAAATACTGATTCAGGTAAGGCATGGGAGTGAATGATGGAGGCATATTCATGCCCTCCAGTTCTGTGCTGGCTAGTTCTATGTCAATTTGACACAATCTGAGAGGACAGAGCCTGAATTAAGAAAATGCCACTATAAGATTGGGCTTCAGGCAAGTCTGTATAGGATATTTTCTTAATTGGTGATTGATGCAGGAGGGACTAGCCTACTGTGGGTGATGCCATCCCTGGGTAGGTGGTCCTGGGTTCTATAAGAAAGCAGGCTGAGAAAGCCATGGGGAGCAAGCCAGCAAGCAGCACCCCTCTAAGGCCTCTAGTGTCAGTTCCTGCCTCCAGGTTCCTGCTCTGTTTGAGTTCCTGTCCTGACTTCCTTCAGAGATAAACAGTGCTGTGGAAGTGCAAGCCAAATAAGCCCTTGTGGTGGTTACAGTTAAAATATCTAGTCTATTTATATTTGGTAAAATTAAAGAAAATATTCTATCATCTATCCTATATTAGTGAGTCTAAAGTTTTATATCTAATTTACTTTTTACCATAACCAAGGAAAACTATAATTATAACTATCTAGTCTTCAACTCCATCAAAGACCCCCAGAAGGATATATTATCTAAGTAAACAGGAAGTGCATTGTGAGCAACTTCCAAAACTCTGGAAATGATAAGAGACATCTGGTTGCCTGGACAGTCACCCAAAGTTGCTCTGCAACATTGAGGCATCCATCTTCAGCCTACAGACTTTTTATTGAAGCAGGATATTTGAAGGATTGTTTCACCTATTGATAAAGGTCATCAGTCACTTTCTTCTGTGTCCTGCAGAATGTCTGGCAGTATCTTCTGTGAAGCAGGAACCTGAAGGACCATCTCGCCTCATTTTGGCAAAGTTCAGTGTTCACTTTCTCACTGAAATGTACAGTCAATACAACATACTGTCAAGAAGTCCAGACAAGAACACTTTCTTGACCAAATGGCCAGTTTTTCCAAGAAGAAGATAAACTCCATATGGAGTGTCTTCAATGCCCATCTTTCTCTTTGAAGTAAATTGGTGCTGCCAGGAGCAGACATGTCTCACTTCCAGAAAAGTCTAAGTTTTTAAAACAATTTAAATGCCATATTCTGTAGGTCTTTGAAGTGTTTAAAGATTACCTACCTAATTGAAATATGTCTATGTATATCTAGAAACCTTAACTAACATGACTGTAAGTTTGATTATCATACATGATTATTAATCTGTATTTCTTAGTGATACATTACAATTTTAAATGAGTTGCATAAACATAATGCTTTAAATAAGAGTAGAAATATACATATAGTATAATAAAATTATCTTTAAATTTGTATCAATAAACTAAAATCCATACCAATGGAAAGTATTTCAAACAAGTTGTTGCTTTTCAAAAGTAGATTCAATAATCTACCCTTTTATCCTATCCTATCTATATGCCCTTTTCTTCTTTAGAAAGAAATTAAATTTATAATCAAACCATTTTAAATAAAAATAACATTTACAAACAATATTTTGGGAATTTGGGCATAGCTTTTCATACTACTTCCTGCCGATTGAGGGAGCTGGCAGTCTTATGGGGATCCTGAGAAAATTAAGAGTTAAATCTTGGCTGTAGTAGTGTGTGAGGTTGTATTGACCATTCAGGGGGGTCTTGGTTGATCAAACCATATTAACCTAGAAGCAATCCATAGGTTCTCATCTTCTGTGGAAACAAAAGCAGAACCTCTTTTCCAAAGCAACTTATCCTTAGACATGAATTTTGAGGTCAAGATGCCTTTAAAATATACATCTTGGTTTAATTGAGTAGTGTGTGATATTGTGTCCCCCAGTATATTGTGCACCTTAATAAACTTATCTGGGGTCAGAGAACTGCTGTGGATATCACTCTGTATAAATAAAATGCTGATTGGCCAGTACCTAGGCAAGAAGTATAGGTGGGACAAGCAGAGAAGAGAATTCTGGGAAATAGGAAGGCTCGGGGAGAAGGAGACTCTGCCAGCTGCCACCATGACAAGCAACATGTGAAGATGACGGTAAAGCCATGAACCACATGGCAAGGTATAGATTAATAGAAATGGGCTGAATATAAGAGTAAGAGCTAGACAATGATAGGCCTGAGCTAATGGCCAAAGAGTTTAAATAATATAAGCATTTGTATGTTTATTTTGTAAGTGGGCTAAGGGACTGCTAGGGCTTGGCGGGACCTGGAGGGAAAACACTCAAGCTACAGAGAACAGAACAGCCTCTAGACAGACATAAAGACCAGAAAATGGTGGCACACACACATCTTTAATCCTAGCATTCTGGAGGCAGAGATCCATTGGGATCTCTGTGAGTTCAGCCACACTGGAAACAGCCAGGTATGGTGACACACATGTTTAATCCCAGGAAGTGATGGCAGGAAGCAGAAAGGTATACAAGGAGTGGAAACCAGGAACTA